ACTCCTCCTGCCTTGAGTGACATTGAAAACTGAGGTTGCAGATTTGGGCACTTCTTGGAGACGTTATAGCCACACTTGAACAGATGCCCAGGCAGTAGACTAGCTTCTGGGAGCCAGCCGTTCTGTGTCTCGTCCACAAGGAGCAGCTTGGCTACAAGCTGGAGCACCTCCACGTGCATGGGCGAGGGGTGCACGTAGGTCTTTGGCTGATGCTTCTCCAAGGTCCAGGCAGTGATAGCGGGTAGCAAACTTGGCAGCCAGTATGGGTTTGGGACTGTGGCTTGGCTAGTAGCATGTAGGCCCTGCACGGGCCAGTCGTGTCTTGGATCCCTGGCTTTCGCCCCAGGAGGAGACTGGTGTTCCATGGCGATTGGCAGGGGGGCCAGGATTTTGGCTTTTAACTGTCTTTGTCAATGTGCTTGAATGCCTTCCCGGGTGGCCCTGGGGAGCTGGGTACTGCCCCAGGAACAAGGTTGATATAGACAGGTGCACGGTTGACTGCCGGTTGTCTTCTGCCCAGATCCCGGGCCATCGTGAGACCAATGGGGAGTGGTAGTCGCCTGGTTTTTTAATGTGGAACATCCTCCATTTCTTTCCTCGGGGTAAGGGGCAGGGGGTGGGAGGAGGGGCCTGACAAGCCTGACAGGAGGACCTTAGGCGGGACTCACAGTTTGAGCTACCCCGCTTCCAGGGAGAAAGCTCTTGGTTGGCAGTTTGCTGAGGGGGCGTCCCACCTGAGCAATGACACAGGGCAGTCAGGCAGGCACAAGAAGTGGTGCTGGACTTCATGACCTGAAGCCAAGCATCCTCGGGCTACTGCTGCTGCTCTCAGACCTGCTGCCTTCTTCACCTTGCGGTGGGCTTCCCGCATCACCTCCCAGTCCCAGTTGACGCTCACCGTATTGGCAATTTCTAGCAGTGGATGGTGTTCACACTTCAAAGCCTTCAGCTTTGAGCACTTTCTTCACTCTGGTTCACGAAGGCAGCATTGACCAAGGACTGGCTGTGTTGTGCTTCCGGGTCTCAGAAAAGGTGCAAGGACTCTCCTGGGTCTTCTGGCGGACACAGGCTACCTGGTTGATGTTGGTAGCTTTCCGAGTTCCCCTCTTCAGCTCTGGGAGGAGGGTTTCTGGGTAAACGTCTAGGTTCTAAAGATGCTCTGCGTCATTGGGGCTCCAGTGAGGCTCCTGTCTGGGAGCTGCCTGCGCCAATGCCCAGTGTTCACCACTTGCGCTGGGGCAGTTTCTTCTACCCAGTGTCAGGCTGTGTGTAAAACCCGGCACCTCTCGTCAGAGTTAACGAGTTAGGAAGAGCTGGAGGCAGGCGGCCCATGTTGGTTTACACGTCTGTCTGGAAGGGACTGCATGAGATCTGAGTATCGGGGCTTCTCAGTGTCAGGCGGAGGACGCTGCTTCCAATTCAACAATTATGGTGGGGAAGGGCAAATATGGAGGAGCTCGTACCTCTGTGTCTGACCGTCCGTATCTACAAAGGTGGGTGCTCTCATCTGCAAGAACATCTGCTTGGCTGGTGGGAGCGATGGGGTGTAAGGACTAAGAACCAGAGGCCCCAACTGCCGGGTGTCAGGGGAGCTGGACTCCTGGTAGTAGCACTAGATGTGGCCGCGGAGGGTGCTGGAGGAGGTCCTGGGCAAGGACTTGCCGGCTTCTGGGGAGTCGGACTCCCGCCAGTGCCTGGTGAAGCCGCAGGGAGGCGGGTGCTGGAGGTTGCAAGGTCGTGGGCAGAGTCGGGAGGAGACCTTTCCCCGAGTCCAAGTAGAATGCGCGGGTCTAAGGGCTCGGCAGAGTGGACCCACAGTGGAGGCTGGATTCTGGGTGGCTTAGCCCCTTCGTCTGAACTGGGGTGGGGGTGTGGGGGTGTGGGAGGACGACGGGCTGCCGGGACGGATCAATAGAGGGAAACTGGTCCGATGGCCACTCACCTTTCCCTGGGGCGTTTTCTCCAAAAATCAGAGCAGAGCCCTGCGGGGAGTTCGGTGGTGCACACCTGGGGTGGAGTCGCCTCTTTCCCTGGGGATCCCCGTGCCTTGCGCCCCCAGCCGGCCGGACCCATGGCGGGGGGTGGGGGGGGCTGGGAGGAAAATGAGTCATCCAGCTTGGACTCACTCACTCACTCACTCGCCTGGAGTGTCCGGGACACACACCCACACCCACCCCTACCCCACCCCCCTCCCTTTCCCGTGCCGAGTGACTGACAACCGTGGTCAAAGCACCTGACGTTTTACCTGGGCCGCAGGGCGGTGTAGACGCCCAGCGGGTTGTAGCAAGGGAAGAACAGGATTGTGGCAGCACGCAGGGATTCCCATCCCTACAAGGGCCGCCTCCTCCATCCGGTCTTGTGAACTTTTGTAGGGAAGGGAGGGCCACCCGCTGTGCCCAGGGTGGTCGGAGCAGCTGCTAAGGAGCATCACACAGGAAGCAGCAGGGCCCTAGCAGTCACTTGGGGCTCCGCCCATGCCCTTTCCAGCCAGGATTCATTTTCTTTCTTTTCTTCCTTCCTTTCTATCTATCTTTCTTTAACTTTCTTTTCTTTCTTATCATTTTATTGGGGCCTCTTACAACTCTTATCACCATCCATCCATCCATCGTGTCAAGCATATTTGTACATTTGTTGCCATCATCATTCTCAAAACATTTGCTTTCTACTTGAGCCCATGAGATCAAATCCTCATTCTTTCTCCTTCCTCTCTGACCCCTTCCCTCATAAACGCTTGATAATTTATAAATGATTATTATTTTGTCATATCTTACACTCTGATGTCTCTGTTCACCCACTTTTCTGTTGTCCGTCTCCCAGGAAGGAGGTTATATGTAGATCCTTGGAATCAGTTCCTTCTTTCTACCCCACCTTCCCTCCACCCTCCAAGTATCGCCATTCTCACTACTAGTCCTGAAGGGACCATCTTTCCTGGATTCCCTGTGTTTCCAGTTCCTATCTGTACCAGTGTACAT